GAGAATCAGATAGTCTAAAAAATGCAACTGTGTTTACCTGTATGTGATTAGAAGAACTCAGAATGGTCATTTCAGTTATTTCTCTTTAATTATCACTGCTCAGTCCTTAGTTGACCTGGAAAATCTTCATTAAACTTCTAAATTGAGAAAATGATGCATATGACTTGGTAGCTGCCGCATCTAATCAGAGGTTTCTTACCATAGTCTGTAAATATCCTTCAAGACTGGCTGTGTTTGCATAACATACTGAACTACAATATATTATGTGTGTTACATGTGTTTTAATTTCAGTCAATATATAATATAAACTTACTTAGAGGGCCAAGATTAAATTAGCCACAAGTATTGTGTACATTGCTATTATTGAAAAATTGGATACAATAATCTTGTGTTTTTGCACCATTTGACCTTGTTCATAAACTAGGAAACATTATCTAATTTAGCCTGTCATTTTCAATATTTTGCTGGGTCATACTTATAATGTACTTATCAGTTTTCAACAGGCTTTAAGAACTCACCAGTTCTTGCTCTACATTTTAAAAAGAGTTTTGTGCAGGTTATTTGGAAAGCTTTAGGAAGTATAGTATATATCTCTCTGTTATTTCAATGCTGAATTTTATATTTCTATTTTTAAGAGGTGCCAACAGACTATATATGCATTTTATACTTATCCATGGTTAAGCTAAAACATTGTTTATTTTCTGGGTTCCTTTAACAACACTGGAACAAAGATTAATCACAATTTAGTTTATATGAATTTAGCTGCAAATTGTTAAACATTTTAAAAGTTGATAAATTTAGCATAATAGGATGTTGTCTTAGCATTGACTAAGAAAGTTTTAAACCCACTGAATAGTTAATGGATGGCTGGGTTCACACAAAATGTGTATCTCAACTATCCATATGTCTGTTCTGCAAACCTCAAAATATTTAGGATTAGAAATGAGATCATTCTGGCATTAAAATAATCAGGTTATTATTAGTCAAAGCACTTTCATTAGATCTGACATTATTGCAAATCCTAAACCCAGGTAGGTTAGCAGCCTTAGCCTGCCAAGTCTATTCGCCAAGAAAATGAGATGAAGGTGCAGAATCTGAAAATTCAAAGTATTATCATTACCAAATTTTTACCAACACTTACCAGCTAAAGAAGACATTTCCCAACAAATGGACTGCAGCACCCATACTACATTCACTGGAGCTTACTTAAATGATGAAAAAGGGTCATTCACATAATGAAGGCTTTCTAGCATTGTGTTTCAAGGGCTCTTGGAATACTGAAAAGTTGAAGGAAATAGGCAGGGATTCTTGTTCTCCATTATGGCATTCCTTAACCTACTTAATGTGATGGTATAGTGAGCCACAACCTAGCAAACAAATTTATCCTAATGTATTGTATGGATCTTTCACAAGAATGATATAGAATTGGAGTAAAGATTTCCCATGCAAATGTCAATTTCAGGTAAGGAGTCCATAATGTAGCTTAATAATTGCATTTTCCCCAAATGTTTTCTAAAGCTACTGTTTTGATGGTTAATGTCTGGATATTCGAATAAACCATGTCTTATTAAACATATCTCAGCTGGGTTCATATACCACACATAAACAGCAGTTCACAATGCTGTTTATAAACAGTTGCTATATTTATTTTATGTTTATATTATGATCACAGTGACTTGGTTCTCATATTGCGCCAAACTATGTCTTATGTAAGAGAGTAATTCTTACTGTGACATGTGTAGGGAGAAAATGTATGTTAATGTATGAGAGATTCTAAATCAGGAGTGTCAAACTTGCAGCCCGTGGGCTGGATATCTCATGCGCTGGCCAGGCCCATGCCGTTTAGCGAAGGGGGGAAATGTCGCAATATGTCACGTGACAATGCGAGTTTGACATCCCTGTTCTAAATGAAAACCATGGCTAAAAGTATCTGATTTGAAACATATATTCCATATCTGCCATATATATATGTTTTTTTTTTACTAGTTATTTGTCTTTTCCCTTAGCTAGATTGCTTTTCTGTGAAATCCATTTTGGATTATAGTTTTACAAAAATGTCCCTAGCACTTTTCTCAAAATGTAAAACAGGTCTGTAAAATGTGTTTGCCTGCCCTCAAAGTTGGGAGATTCCTATGGGATGAGTGTCTTCACTCCCAAGGCAACCTTTTTTTTTTCAAAAATAATACTAAGTTTATAGTTTTCATATAGAAAAAAATAAGAAAATACTGTGTAGATAATTTCTTTATAACAGGGAAATATTATTGCTGAGCTTTACGATAGATTTCTATCCTTATCTTAACTTGAAAAGTTATGAAATCCTAGCCTCCCAGCTGATACGTTTATAAAAGTTTATAACAACAATAGCAAGCAATAGGTCAGTGTTATTTATACTCTATAACACTTATTCCAAAGCTAATGTGCAGTATAGCATTTAAATCACTTAGGCAACCCAAAACAAAACACAACAGTTCAGACTTTTGATGTACAGTATGACCAAATGAAGTACTTAACTTGAATGACTCAATTCTAAGCAGCTACCTTTTAAAGAACTACTCTAGTGTTAGCAGCAGATATTTCTTGAATTTCCATGACATTGACACATAACTTCTGAACTGTATCAGTTAAAACGATAAACATAGTTTGTGGGTTAGAAGAAAATTTTGAGTTCTCCATCCCTTCTATTAAAAATACTAATAACTCTACCTGCTTTCTTGCCAGCAATAATAAGAATAAATTAGAAAAGCAAACAGTATTGAAACAGCATGATTGAACTGGTTATTGGTATTTCAAATAATTTCAGTACAATTCTTCATATTTAGCTGTCTGTAGGCAAAGCAGGATATAACAATAATAGCAGTGTTTGTATTTCTGCTCTATTCATACATGAAGTGCAGTGTGATAGGGTGGAGAAATTATTAAATTGATCAAATAAATTTGTTGCAGAAATTAGACACAACCATCTTCTGCTTTTTTCATTAACCATACAGATATATAGTTGCTGTTGTTG